GGATCTGGCATCCGTCCATTCCCGCTCGGATCAGAATCTGCCACCCCATCCATCCGCTCGGATCGGACCTGTCGTCCCCTTCGCAGCAGGCTCATCCCGGGCACATACCCCCAGCGGGACCCCTCTACCACCGCCGGGGGTGCCCAGGGGCGCGACCTGGTCTCAGTCTTGCACCAAGTCCATCCCCACCATCAGGGGCCCTGGTGAAGAGGCAGACTGGGACTTAGACTCCGCGTCCTGGGAAACCCCGTGCTGTGGACCACTAGAGATCCCGTTGGGCGGAGCCTGACGCCAGGGGAAAGGGGAGGGGGGAAGCCAGCAGAGCTGCAGGGGAATGACAGGGGCCAGAGGAGCACACGGGAGGCCAGGTGTTAAACACCGCCTGGCGGCGTCTCTAGCAGCCCACAGCACGGGGTTCCTCAGGGCGCGGGGTCTAAGTCCCAATCTGCTTATTCACCAGGGCCCCTGATGGTGGGGATGGACTTGGAGCAGACTGAGACCAGGTTGCAACCCCTGAGTATGTTCAGCAATGGTAAAGAGCGCCGCCAGAGGTGTGCAGGTAATGGAGCCTGACGTGAAGAGGCTGGCAGACCTGGTAACAGGGACAGATCCGTGCGGGATGGATGGATCGTCTGGGTAGCGTAAGGCGTAGTCAGGCAGGCCAGGTCAGCAACGTGCGGGCAGTGAGGTACCATAGGAGCAGGCAGAGAATGGTCAGGGTCACAAGCCGGGTTCAGTAACTTACGGGCAGCGCGGTACAGAGGATCAGGCAGAAGGATGGTCAGGCAAGCCAGGGGTTTAAACAGGAGACGGTCAGCAGGGTCAGGAAGAATGCAGAGGTCGGCAACAGAAGATTCACAGGATCAGATATCAGGAACAGAGCAGATAAGACCAAATGGCAATTTGACATACCTCCTGTCCTGTTTAAATAGCCTGCCCTGCGCTGTCATTGGTGCCAGGCGCGTGTCTGTGATCGCGAGTGTGCATGCGCGGCCATCGCGATTGCCCAGGTCCCACTGCTCGCTGGCTAGGGTGCATCGGTGTTCTGCGCATGCGCTGCCCAGCGCATCGCGGCAGAACCACCGATCCCTGACACCAGGGGAGCACACGGGGCCTGGTGTCAGCAGGACCTGGATAGGAGGAGCATCGGGGCAACATATAAAGGAACCGACACCCTCCATTTTCCTCCTGAAGCCGCTGAATGCCTGCAGAAGGGAGAGGAGGAGAAGCGTGCTGCAGGAGGAAAATGGTGGGCATAAGTTTCTCTATAGTATATGCTTCCCCTACTGCCCCTCCTATCCAGGTGTACAGGGGAGCTGCATGGGCCCCCTGGCCAATTGCGACCCCTGTAGTTAAGTCCCTGGGAAGCCACTGTCATGTACCACCTAGCGGTATCTCTAGTAACCCACAGGACAGAATTCCCCAGGGCGCGGGGTCTAAGTCCCAGTCTGCTTATTCACCAGGGCCCCTGATGGTGGGGATGGACTTGGAGCAGACTGTGACCAGGTCGCGGCCCCTGAGTGCACCTGCCTGTGGTAGAGGGAACCGCCAGAGGTATGTACTGGAAGAGAGCCTGATGTGAAGAGGCGGATATACCTGGGCAGCAGTGACCGGATCCGTGCAGGATGGATGGATGGATTGCAGGGTAATGTAGCGTAGTCAGACAACCGGGTCGGTAACAGCGGAGACAGAACGGTACAGAGCAGCAGACAGAGAGTAGTCGGGTCACATGCCAGGTCCAGCAACAGGAGGTCAGATAATCAGGGGTATGCAGGAGAGTAGTCAAATGAGCCAGGGGTCAGAGCAGGAGATGGTCAACAAGGGTCAGGATCAAGCAGGATCTGCCTAGGTCTTAGCGCCCGCTGGTTAGAGTGTATCTGCGCATGTGCAGACTGGCGCGCTGCCGCAATCCCTGACAGCCACACTGCCTCGTTAAGGCCCCTCTGTAAAGTGTGGTCCTAAGGCTGGCCAAAGACTCATTTTTTTCTAAGGGGGCTGATTGAAAAAAAAAAAAAAAGGAATAATTTCCACCATCCACACAAGCAAGGGGAATGGAGGAATCCTTCCCTGTTGTACCATTGTACACTGCTCAAAAAAATTAAAGGAACACTTTTTAATCAGAGTATAGCATCAAGTCAGTTAAACTCCTTGGATATTGATCTGGTCAGTTAAGTAGCAGAGGGGGCTGTTAATCAGTTTCAGCTGCTTTGGTGTTAATGAAATTAACAAAAGGTACACTGGATGGGCTACAATGAAACAACCCCCAAAACAGGAATGGTTTTACAGGTGGAGGCCACGTTTTTTCCCTACTCATCTTTTCTGACTGTTTTTCACTAGTTTTGCATTTGGCTAGGGTCTACTGGTAGCATGAGGCGATACCTGGACCCTACAGTGGTTGCACAGGCAGTCCAACTCTTCCAGAATGGCACATCAATACATGCCATTGCCAGAAGGTTTTCTGTATCTCCCAGCACAGTCTCAAGAGCATGGAGGAGATTCCAGGAGACAGGCAGTTACTCTAGGAGAGCTGGACAGGGCCGTAGAAGGTCCTTAACCCATCAGCAGGACCGGTATCTGCTCCTTTGTGCAAGGAGGAACAGGATGGGCACTGCAATCTCATAAGCAGTGAGTGAGTTACTGCATGGAGGTGGAGAAAGTAGAGAGTTAAAAGTAGAGAAGAGACGACGAGGACTGGATGACAAGGTGTTAATTAGAGTGACAAAGTAGGCTTGTTTGGCAGTATGGATGGAGGAATTGTATGTTAAGAAAGCAGATTTATATAGGGTGAATGCTTGCTGGGATTTGGTTTTAAGCTACAATTGCTCCAGTGCACGACTATGTCTCTTAAGATTTCTAGTGTCGTCAGTCTATCACGGTTGTAATGGTTGGGGCCTGATGCTTCGTGTAGCAAGAGGAGCAAGTGAGTCTAGTGTAGATGAAAGCGAACTGTTGTAGACAGCAATGGCCAGGTCAGGGCAGGACAGGGGAGAGATTCGGTCATAGAGGTGGTCAGAGTGGAAAAGAAGGGTTTAAGTTGTGAAAATTTCTGTGGGCAATTGTTTGTTTGGAGAGAAGTGTTTGAAGATGAGGACACCGTGAAGGTGATGAGATTGTGATCAGAGAGAGGGAAAGGAGTGTTTGTGAGGTTGTAGGGAGTGCAAAGATGGGAGAAAACAAGGTCTAATGCAGAGGAGTCCCTAGGGTTGGTGTCACCCTCTGCGGTAACACTTGGTGAAACCCCCTCCGACGATCCCCGCAGAATGGATCAGATCTGCGGATTGAGCATAATGGATCGGCCTCCGATCCATTATGCTCAATCCGCAGATCCAATCCATCCTGCGGCTTGCTTTACAACTTACCTTTTTGTGAGCGGGTCCGGTGTCACCCCGTGCAGTCGGTGTCACCCGGTGCGGACCCCAACCCCTGCACCTGCCTTGGGACGCCGCTGATCTAATTTCTTCCCATCTGAGTGAGTGGAGGACTGTGTCCATTGTGTTAAGGCAAAAGATGAGGTTAGGTTGAAGAGTTGGGATGTAGCTGGGGTGTTCACAATAATGGGGATGTTAAAATCTCCAAGAATGATAGTGGGTATTTCAGAGGAGAGAAAGTAGGGTAGCAAGCAGAGAAGTCATCAAGAAAGCAGGACACCGGTCCAGGAGGCCGATAGATCACTGCAATCCTCAGAGAAATGGGAGAAAACAGCCGAATGCAGTGAGTCTTGAAAGAAGAGAAGGATAGAGAGGGAGGGTTAGGGAGGACTTGAAAGGTGCTCAGCGGGGATAGTAGCAAACCAACTCCACCACCTTTCCGACCACTGGGTCTGGGTGAGTGGGTCCACAGAAGGCCTCCCTAGGAAAGTGCTGCAGGAGAAGTAGAATCTGCTGCTTGAAGCCAGGTTTCTGTAATTGCTAGTGGGTTAAGGGAGTTGGAGACAAAAAGGTCATGGACAGAGGTGAGCTTATTACAGACAAATCTGCGACTTCAAGTTCCAGCAACACTACTTTGGTATGGCTTTAATGCGACTTTAGTCCAGGAAATGTAAAGTCGGATCAAAGTCACACCACAAATCACATCAAAGTCGTGCTCCAAAGTCATACAGGAAATGGCGCAATATTGGAGATGCACTAATATGAATGTAGCCTTAGCCTGCAAAAAAACAAATAACACAACAAAATGACACTTTCTAACAATTTACAATAAAAACAAGTTTTAGCTGCACACATTTGCAAATACGTGTAGAAGCTACACTGCCTCATCAAGGCCCCTTTGTAAAGTGTGGTCCTAACTTAAATTTTCAGAGCCCCCATATTGGCGCACACATATACAACAATGCATAACTTAAAGGCAGGGCTGCCTGGAGACAGTCCATTCCACTGAAGATGCAGGGACACATTAGAAGCTCAACAAGAGTACAGTGACGTGTGTCCTGCATTAAGTGCACCAGGAAGAATGATTCAAGAATAGCATTGCTCTTCCACCATCACACGGGTTCTAGGCGGGGAGCTTATCAACTATGGACACCATTGGATATGGACACCATATGGATTACAGCACTGGACTGGATGTGCTCATAAATGTGCTCATAAAATCACACATGACTCTTTTACTGGTAACACTGCGCACAACAATGTACTACTGTGCATTTACTACATACTAGCACTGCAAGCTGTTGTAACAAAAGCGTTACTGCAACAGGGAAGTGAAAATCTGGCCAGAAAGTATTTAAGACATAGCCAGAAAACTGGTATTTTCAGACATAGGTCAGGTGGTAATTCCTGGCTCATGGTTTTCAAATGTTGCCCTGGCATTTCAGCTCTGCAAAGTTTAACTCCAATATGGTTGACCTATGCTGGTCATACACATATAGATTTTCCCTAGGTGCACACCTAAGCATTTTCTACAGAATTTTGCAGAAACGCAGTACAGTCCATTTAACATGATTTCCTATGGGACAAGTTCACATCTCCACATTTTCACCCGGTGTGTTTTTTGGAAAGGGCCAGGGACTTTTTTGAACGCAAAACATTGTGTTTTTGGTTATATAGACTTCAATGGGAATGCTGCAGAAAAGCATGTATTGCATTTTTGCGTTTAAAATCTGTCTAGCAAGAAGAAACATTTTAAACAATACAAAAAAGCAAAACGCATAAAAACCGCAAGTGCAAAAACACAAAACACAATGCAGAAATGCATCAAACGCAACCTGCATAGGTGTGATCCTAGACTGAGATAGTTTTTGCTTCAAGAATATTTGTTTAAAAACTTCTAATTGTTAATGGGGTCAAATCGATATTTGTTTTTTCGAATTTTGAAGGGGCAGGAAGGAAAACTGTTCTTGGTCCGACAAATTTTCAGCCTGTCTATTTGGTTATCGTTCAGAAATTACATTCGTTTTAAAATCAAATGTTAAAGGCAAAAGACAATTTTCAAACAACATTCGTCCATTCATCGAATGTACAAAGAAATTTCATAAGGCTTTTCTTACGAATATTCTCATCCAAAAATCTACATGTGTATGGCCAGCTTTAGGTGACTCCCCCATCATCAGTCTGCATCAGATCTACCCTCCAGGAAAAGGGCCGTAGCCTTCTAATCCTCCCAATGTAATGTTTGTAAGATTCTCACCAGCCATCAGCCATAGTAATGTCACCGGTAAATTAAAGTGCAATTACACACACTGTCATCACTCTGAACTCCATAGAAAATCTTCTGTAATAGCTGTACAACAAGGTGTTGTGAAAAGCCAGAAATCAGTTACCAGTGCCTGCATGGGTAAGCAATATAAGTAGCTGAAAGCTCTTTGAAGATGGAGCCCAACTCCATGAATCAGCCTGTACACAGTATTGATTGCTGTATCAGTTCCAAAGCAAATTGCTAGCTGATGGTGATCAGTTTTATGGATCAATATGTCTAAAGAACAAAGGCAGGAAAGAACTTTACAGTTGTCATACCTCTGCAACCTATTTATCAGCCCTTTACAAGTCATACAAGTAATATATACAGTACATTTATCTCTCAAATGGTTTTCCATTTATGGCGTCAAAGTCAAAGCAGCAACTCAGAAGCAGTTGAAAGTATCTCCCAGGATCTTGCTGGAAGAATTTTGATGATACCCTTTCCAGTGCAGAAGCTGGGGTAACGTAAGTACATTGTGTAACTTCTTTTTACATGCCTCTTGTGTAGACTATGAAGCTCCACAGGGACCCTTTGGGACTTTAGTGGTTGTAAACCTTTACATATACCTACTGAAGTGACGAGCCTGAGGTGATTGTACCTGTTTATCTGCAAACCCTATCTTCACACATAGGGGGGAAGGGAAAACTTTTAATGAACGATCACATAGTTACAGCAAGGCAATGTTTCGGAATCTCGCAGGACCTTTTCATCAGATGTGTCAAATGCCTGATGAAGGGGTCCTGCGAGACTCCGAAACCTTACCTTGCTGTAACTATGTGATCATTCATGAAAACTTTTGGACCCATATTGGTGATCCTCGGTGTGCTGGTGACATTCTCCCTTGCTGATTCTGGTTGGTTCTAGCTGACGGTTGCTGCAGAACCCACTTATACGCACAGCCATTTTTAATGCAGGAACATGCGCGTTGAATTGTACACTTGCTTGCTGATGTCACACATTACACAGCACATAAGGAAACATGAACAGCTGAGGCTGTCAATCACCTGTTGTGTGCTGATGTCGACCTAAACTGTTAGAAGTGACTTATGCAGATAGCTGAGGAATGATAGAACAGACAGAAATCACATTAAGTGCTTTGGATTAAGGCATGTAGCAGGATATGATTTGTTCATTTTACATTTCAAAAGTTTACAGCAACTTTAAAGTATTATTAAACCCACATCATTAAAAACTATCAATAAATGTTGTATTACATGCTGTTTATATTCACTATGGGAGTAGTTCTGGGTATTCTGAAAAAAAACTTGATCCTGTTCTCTGATTTTCCCTTCTGTCCATGACCCCACTGCAGTTGGGGATTTTGCAGAACAGTGTGTAGTGCACATGCCCAATATTTCTACCCTGAGAATTTTTCTATCACATCTTAGCAGCTCTTGTGACTAAAGAGTCACACATGTGGGCATACACACAGCGGTAAATGATACCCTACTTCCTCCCTCCTCCTCTATGCTCACTAACCAGCTAAACACAATGGGAGGGTGGGATATTACATCTTGATTAATGGAGGCTTCACCTCCATGTTATTCTAAGACACAGGCTGAAGGGGCGTGACACAGCCTATGACTGCCAGAAATCCCCCCACACCATGTTGTCACGGATCCCACCCACACGCACACATCCTCAGCGACTAGCTAACCGAGGCGTGCACATCCGGGCGGCCATGACTTGAGGTAAAGAGGGAATGAGGGGGACTTATTCTGAATATATATAAGACCAGTTCTGATACACTTTCACAGCCCGCACTATCTCTGGCCACCACTAGAGGGAGACTCCAATCCAGCTGGCTGACCACACACAGGCAGATACGAATCTTATATATAATCTGGTGCACGCTAAGGGTTGGGGAGCAGTCTAGCAATTGGCACACCCTTCTAGGATTCCTCCAGCTATCCTACAAGCTAGAACCCCGGTGTTAATCACTCTTCCAGTGTCCACACACCCCCACACCAGACACACAACAAACGGTAGCTTGCCACAACCCAACAGTTTATCCGCAGACTGGTCTGCTGGGCCACCACACACACACAGATCTCCATCTGGCAGATATGGTACTTTACAATCTGCATGCAATCTGCCAACACGCAGTGCAATTGCATAAAGATAGGCAATGAACTTGACTGAGCATATATAGACAGTGCAATACAATGCAATCTCTCTGGAGAGCTTAACTACCCAGAAGTCACTTATTAATTTTATGATTTAATATCCCGAGAGTGGGCAGTGCATAAAATATGTACAAAGAAAAAACAATTACAGAAAATACAAAAAGACACACAATTGGCTATTCACTATAAAATAAAAGGGAATAAAAACAAAAATAAAACTTTTACCAAGAGTTATCCTGCGACTAGAGAAAGTCAGAGAAAGTCTGCGATTCGCCAGTCAAATAGAAACGGCTCCGTACGAATCACACCGTCCATATCTCAGGGTCCTCAATTTATTGAAATATGGACGTAGGCTGGACATTAGCCCTTGGCCAATCAACCCTGGACGTTCTGGGTACTGAAGTGCCCAAAGTCGATTGGACAAGGAACGGATTGAATCACCAAGTCAGGGATAGAATTTCCAACACCAACGCATCAGCCTGATCGCGACAGTAGCAATCACTGTTCAGCTGTCGCAATCAGGTGCCATATAACCATATTCTGCGTTTCTCTCTGGGATTCCACAGAGGCTACAAATACAGTTTTACATGCAGATGTAGCCTACAGTGTGCCCAATCAAAAGGAAGTATTTTCATCTCTCTGCAACTAATATTTTAGCTTTCATGAGAGATGAAATATTTTTCTTTGATCTGAGTATATAAGTTATTGCTCCCAGACAGATCGGAGCCCTCTCCTGCTGCTTCCGGAAGCCAAAATGGCTAGAGCCCTTCTTTTTACATTTCTAGAAGGTGGAAAACTGTGACTAGGTGACAATGTTTTATTGGCATCTAGGTGTCACCTCCAGTCTAGAAGCTGCTCTGTCCTTTCAGATGCTAATTGGTGAACATATGTCTCTGACTGAATACTGATCACTTAACTTGTTATCTTTAATAACATGGAACTAAGCTAGATATACAATGACATATTTCTACAGATCACATCTCAGCTACTCGAATCTTACATTTATGTTACACGTTACTGCCAAAAAATACGAAGATTTGATTTCATATATATATTGTAAGGCGCTGAGCAAACTGTTGGCGCTATATAAATCCTGTATAATAATAATAATAAAAAATATATACAGTATAAAGTATAACAATTTAAAACAGCTTATTGATGCTAATTATTTATTTGTACTCTGTATCCCAAATGCTGTTTTTGTTTTTTGAACATGTGACTAGCAACAGAGGTCTGGAAGTTCCTCCTGCCACCGTTTCACTGATTTGATTTCATATATATATAATTAATTTAAAACAGCTTATTGATGCTAATTGTTTATTTTACTCTGTATCCCAAATGCTGTTTTTTTTTAACATGTGACTAGCAATAGAGGTCTGGAAGCTCCTCCTGCCACTGTTTCACAGACAGGCTGGGAAAGAGCTGGGTCAGGTGACACCTGTATATTTGTAAGAAAAAAAAAGGTACTTAAACCTTTTTTTTTAACAATTACACTGTCATCATCCACATACAGAAATAGAAGGGATAATGTAAATTAAACAGTGTGTGTTTTGTATCCATAAGAGTTGATGGTTAAAGTGCTGCCATCCCCTTCCACTGTCATGGAGACCTAGACACTGCTGGTGAGAAGTGAGAGGTATTCTTTATGGTGATCTAACAGAGAGTTTGTGATAGACAAATGGCGTTGGACAGCAGGCTTCTTTACTTCTTGCTTGCTGAGTATTGAGACACGCAGCATGCTTCTTCTATTTCCTTTTGGTACCAAATGCACTGGAAGTGAAATGTTTGTTCAATGTCTTATTTCAGATTCATATCATAAACCTGGAAAAAGTTCCAGGGATTCAAATATGACTTTTCCTATCTTCTTACCAGAACAGTTCAGCTCCAGGCTGAACTCGGTGCACCAAGGTCGCTGCTTCCATTGTTTTATGAAATGTCACACAGAGGACTCACAGCACGGTAGTAAAACGTAAGCCTCTTACGAAGGCTAGCATAGCAATGATTACTATTTGCATGATAGCAGGTTTGTTCATATGTTTGCAAATAAAAATATCTGCCATGTAAGCACTGGTAAGAGGTTTACTTAACAGGATAAGTGCAATTTTATTTAAGAAAAAAATCAATATTCCTCCAATATTTGCTTGTATCGACTACAGGCAAAAATGGAAGAACGATAAAAAAATAGCAATATTCTTCCACCATCACACGGGTTCTAGGCAGGGAGCTTATCAACTATGGACACCAATTTCCACCACAAAAAAAAGAGCTGGAAAGGGGATTACAGCACTGGACTGGATGGGACCTGTTCAAAATAAACTTAGGCTCCATGTACACAGGACATTCTGAACGATGGAAACTGACTGCTTGAAAACATAGGTTAAAAAAAGTCTGTTTAGCCGCGTTGGCATACCACGTTTAAGCGCGTTTATGAACGTTTGCATTTAGAAGCGTTTTAAAGATAACCTCAGGAGACCTTCCATAATGCCCAGAATGCACTGAAAAACAGAAAAAAATTAACTATTTTAGACATTGAGAGAAATGGTGAAATCAGAAGCAGAGAGAGCAGTATTTGTTGAGATTAGCTGTCTTTTTTTTTTTTTCTTGCGGTGTTTGGATGTGTTCCAGCTCATTTCTGTGCAGAAATTATTGCAGCAGTGTCTAACATATTTTCTTTCATACGAAACCTCAAAGTATGGTGTATCAGGTCCATTTGAGTACGGGAAAACACTTTGCATGCATTTTTTTATGATGAAAAAAGGCTCTGGACATCATCTGGAAATGGAAGAGGTAAAAATTTTTTTCCAAATGCAAGCGCTTATAAATGCGGTTAGCCGCGTTTACAAGTTTGAAATGCTGATAAAATCTACTCCTGAATGGAAGTTTGGCGCGTTCAAAAAAATGACTGGAAACTCAACTGTAAATGATGATGTGTACATGGACACATAGGAAAACATTAGGGAGTGTTCAGGGGCTGCTGAAAAAAACGCAGAAAAGCTCCTGAACATCAGTTTATCTGCTGTAGTGTACATGCCTTAAATGTGGCAAAAATGTGTACTCAGAACACAGCTTTGCACTAACGATCAGTAGACCATGGGTGCAATGCCAGGCTCCTGAAGACTCTTCTGCCAGCTCTCTGCTGCAGTGACAGACAGGACTTGTAGCTCATTCACTCATTCGTAGTTCATTCATTCATTCACAGGTCTCTGTGAATGAACAACACGGCTGTGCTGGCAGAGCCCTGCAAAGCCATGCCAATTTCAAGAGTGACAGCATCTGCGGGGGAGAAGAACCATTGCACGCTGTTTCTGGGGGTGGTTTGAGGGTAGGAACCATTTGCATTTTCCCTATATATGGATGTAACATGGTACTAAAGATGGAGTAAGCCTTTAGCCTAGGTTCACACATGTACTGCTGCATAATCATGTACTTTTCAGAGCGTTTATACTGTACAGTTGCAAGAAAAAGTATGTGAACCCCTTGGGATTAACGTGGAGTTTGCATGCATTGACCGTCATCTAAGTCACAACAATAGAAGAACACAGTCTGCTGAACATAATACTACACAAACATTAGATGTTGCCATGGTTTAACCACTTGAGCCCCAGATGATTTACCCCCTTAATGACCAGGCCTTTTTTTGCTGTTTGGCGCTGCACTAATTCAAATGATAATTGCGCGGTCATGCAATGCTGTACCCAAACAAAATTTACGTCCTTTTCTTCACACAAATGGAGCTTTCTTTTGGTGGTATTTGATCACCTGTGCGCTTTTTATTTTCTGCGCTATAAACAAAAAAAAAAAACGAAAATTTTGAAAAAAAAA